CTGGAAAAAGAACTAAACAAAATGGAGGCAAGCAATCTAATAGATATGGAGTTCAAAACACTGGTTACAAGGATGCTCAAGGAACTTAGGAGAAGAATAGATGATCTCAATGAGAACGTCAATGAAGAGATAAGAAACATAAAAAAGGAGACAGAAAACCTAAAAAAAGAACCAGTCAGAAATGAAGAATACAATAACTGAAATGAAGACTGCATTAGGTGGAATCGACAGCAGATTTGATAAAGCAAAGGATTGAATCAGTGATCTGGAAGACAAGGTAGTGAAAAACACCCAAGAAAAAAGAAAAAAGAATTTCGAAAAATGAGGATAGTTTAAGGGACAACATCAGTAATAACAACATTCACATCATAGAGGTACTAGAAGGAGAAGACAGGGCAAGGGATTGAAATCTATTTGAAGACAAAGTTTTTAGACAAATAATTCCTAAAAACTTTCTTAAGTTGGTGAAGAAAATAGACATACAAACCCAGGAAGCACAGAGAGTCCCAAACAAGTTAGACACAAAGAGGCCCACAACAAGACATATCATAATTCAAATGCCAAAGATTAAATACAAAGAATCTTAAAAGCAGCAAGAGAAAAGCAGTTAGTTACCTACAAGACAGCTCCCATAAGACTGTCAACTGATTTATTAACAGAAACTTTGCAGGCCAGAAGAGATTGGCACAGAATATTCAAAGTGATGAAAAGCAAGGACCTACCACCAAGATTACTCTACCTGCAAGGCTATCATTTAGATTCCAAGGACAGATAAGGAGCTCCCTAGACCAAAAACAAACAAAAAAGCTGAAGGAGTTATTATCACCAAACTGATATTACAAGAAATGTTGTAGAAACTTCTTTAAGAAAAATAAAAAATATGAATAAAAAGTAAATATAGCAAAGAAAAAAATTCTCACTGACAATGGCTAACAAATAATAAAAGCAGTGGACCAACCAATGTTAAAGCTAATACAAAAGTTAAAATGCCAAAGTAGGAAGATCATGTGTAATTACGACAGTAAATCAAGGGATACACAAACACACAAACGAAGTAAAAAGTACTGACAAAAACATAAATGTGAAGGTGGTAAGTAAAAATGGTAGTGATTTTAGAATGTGTTGGACCTTAAGTGAACATCGACACAGACTATAGTAACACAGTTTGGTATATCTGAAGCACATGGTAACCACAAACCAAAAATCTACAAGTGATTTACAAGAAATAAAAAGAAAGGAATCCAAACACAACACTACAGAAAGTCATCTACATATAAGAAAAGAGAGCAAGAGAATAAGAAAGGAATAGGAAAGAACTACAAACACAATCAAAAAATAATTAGTAAAATTGCAATCACTATAGAACTATCAATAATTATTTTAAATGTAAATGGATCAAATGCTCTAATTATAAGATGATTGGATAAAGAAGACATGGTATGTATATAGAACGGAATATTACTCAGCCACAAAAAAGAATGAAATCTTACCATTAGCGACAACGTAGATGGACCTAAAGGGTATTGTGCTGGGTGAAATGAGTCAGAGAAAAACAAATATCATATTATTACACTTATATGTGGATTATAAAAACAAAATAAATGAACAAATAAGACAAAGACAAATTCATAGATACAGAAAACAAACTGATATTTGCCAGATGGGAGAGGAGTTTGGGAGTCTGGGTGAAAAAGATGAAGAGATTAAGCAGTACAAATTGTCAGACACAAAATACTCATGAGGATGTAAAGTACAGCATAGGGAATATAGTCAATTATATTATAATAACTATATATAGTATGACGTGGGTGTAAGACTTATCAGGGGGATCACTTCATAAGTTATATAAATGTTTAACCACTATATATCTGAAACAAATATAATATTGAATGTCCACTGTAATGGAAAAAAATTTAAATTAAAAAAAAAGATATTCCCAAAGCTGAATATCACCATCTAAGAACAAATTTCTGAGATATGAAAACGAATCTGCAAATGTATTTAACATGTATTAGTGTCAGAATTTTATTATCCACATTATTTCAGATTGAACACTTTAGTGAGGATAATTTCTCCACTTTGACAGCTGCCAATGTGCTTCTGCAGTCAATAAGTTCCTATGGCAGTTCTGAAACATGGCCCTGAATTTTTTCGACAAGTTGAGAGGTGGGGTCTGTCTCTGTCTCCCCTCCTTGGCTTTGGGCAGGTTCATGATGGCTTCAACCAACAGAGTAGAGCCCACGTAAGGCTGGTGTAACAGGCAGCATTTTGCTGGAACATTCACTCTGGAGCCCTGAGGCACGTAAGAAGTCGTGAGGCAGCCATGCTAGCAGGATGCCCAAGCCACCGGGACGGACACTGAGTTGGTCGTCCCTGCTGAGCCCAGCCTCTGAGTCATTCCAGCCCGCGCACCAAGCTTGTGGGTAAACAAGCTCACAATCTCAGTCTCTGTTCACCGAGTCACTCCACCCTTTAGGTCTTCTTGCTGAGGACCTGAACATCGCAGAGCAAAGACAAGCTGTCCCCGCTGCTCCCACATGACTATCTGAGCCACAGAATTCATGAGCATAATAAATCGTTGCTATTTTACACCACTGAGTTTGGGGTGGTTTGTTATGCAGCAATGGAACTGGAATAGCTGCTCACTCAAGAACTGCAGTATTTGAATAGTATTACTTTTCTGCAGAAACTGAAATTCATTCTCTACTTATACCGCTATTTGAACATTCACAATAATTATTTCTGAATGTAAAATTAGTGGCCATCGCAATCATTGTTAATCATGGTTCCATTTTCCTTGCAGAATAATTATTGTGAAAGAATAATTGTACAGTTCTCCTTTAACTCGACTGGAGAATGCCAGCTTATAAACCACATACGGAGCTTTCTGTTCCAAGTTACATCCAGAAGGCTGTTCTATATTTGAAAGTGAGTATTCAGATATAAACAATAACTATGAGTGCAGAGCCTCGCTTGTGTTTCTGACGTGGTTACATTAATTAGATAAGATGGGCCAAATAATTCTGGCTCGGAGAAGCACAGCAATGACACAGGAGTAAGAGTTTTGATATTCGGCTTTTCTGAAGACCAAAATCCTAACAGAACTTCAAAGCAACCTTGCGATATTATTTTTCTAATCTCTGCATGGTTTCTTGGGGCGGGTGACAAGGTTGGTGAAAACAGGAGAAACTGAGGCTCACTGATCTCTAGCATCCAAACTGGTGAATGGCTGAGTGAATCACAATCTGCCCAGCCCGTTCCTCTTCCAAGACAGCAATGATGCTGGCAGAACCCAGAGGGACCGCTTGGTTGACTTTTTCCCAGTCAATTCCCAGACCGCATATTGACTTTTAATGCCCAAACTCCCACCATATACCTAGAAGAGGGCCACATCTCCTCAGATCCCCCAAGGCAGGGCCATGCCCTCTTCAGTCCTCCACAGAGCTGCATTCAGACCCCCTCAGACCAGCCTCTCCGGGCCAGGACATAGTCATGTCTGCTCAGAACCCCTAGCATGGGCCTTGTTCTCTGAGTCCCAGAATGTCATCAAACACATGTACAGTACACTTTTCAGCTGATAATTACAAAGGAAAATTTACAGTCACAGCTCCGTAACTCAATACATTTCTAACAAAGCCACATGTGAGTCAAATCTCCAATTAATTCTCAAACAAGATGAGTAGGACAGCACAGCCACATGCAGATGATTTGAAAAACTGCGGGGAGCTCTGAAAACGAGAGTTGGGCTGGGGTGCTCCCAATAGACAAAGCAATGGTGGGGATCAACCATGCTAGCAGTTTCATGTTCAGAGACTGATGCTTAGAGCATTTTCCAAATGGATAGTAAGTTATTCAATGGCACTTTCCTGTGTCTATTTACGGTTTAGGAAATTGCTTGGGGGGCTTATAGTTGATGGGCAAAACATTATCATTTTTGTTATTGAAAGTCATGGGAAACAGGCACCCCAAGAGCGTTTTCCTGCAGAGCATCTGGTTTTCAACAACACAAGGACAAGACATGGCCAAAACAAAAAACAAAACACAAAACAACAACCAAAAAAACCTTTATTTTTCAGTTTAGGGGCAGCAGCGCCCCCTGGTGGCCATCAGCCCCCCTACATGCACAAGATATGCAGATGCTCTCAAGAGGTGAGACCCAACCTCTAGCCTGGATGAAGGGATGGGGATCTCAGGCTGTGCTCACAGGGCTTGGTGCTCCTGTCTCCATCCTACAAGACCCTGTTTCCTACTTTGGCCCAAGATGGATGGCTTTTTTTATTGGGCATGTAATCCATTTTTCTGGAAATAGCACCCAATTTTCCTTTGAGGAACTCCCAACACTCATGTAGTTCTTGAGGGGTCAAACCTCCCCTCGATCCCATGCATCAGATGCAGAGTGATTTGATGAGGGCTGAACATATGACCCAAATCTGTCCAGTGAGAGCCAGGCTGAGGTGATGTTTGTTTGTTTGTTTGTTTTTTGCTATAGCTATTGGGAAAGAAGCATTTTCTTTACAGTGGGGTGACTAAGTGGTCCATAGCATATAAGCCTAGTTTGGGTGAGTAGAGGGGACATCTCTGTCTCTGGCTGTCAGGGAGGCTGCTTGGAAGTGAAGCTGACCTAGAGAAAAGCAGATCTGAGAGGAAATGAGGCATAGTCCTAATGAAAAATATTTGAGCAGCTGGATCCAGCAGTATCTAAAGCCAGATGCTACAGGCCATTTCCAGTTAAGTGAGCCAATTAAAATCTTTCCTCAAAAGCCAGTGGAACTTAGAGGATCACGGTCCCTGCTTGATTGGTTCTAGGCCTTAATTCCTCTTTTCCCTATTTACGGTTTAGGAAATTGCTTGGGGGGCTTATAGTTGATGGGCAAAACATTATCATTTTTGTTAAGAGGATCACGGTCCCTGCTTGATTGGTTCTAGGCCCTAATTCCTCTTTTCCCTCTCCCAGAAATGTCCTCATTGCTGCTTACATTTGCAAACTCAGAGGCCACGTTAATCAAAACCATCTTTATTATTTAAAGAGCAGTCTGTCATCAGGGGCACCCAAGTTGGGGTCCCCAGATGGCAGAACAATATTTACATGGGGGTCAGGAAGATGAGGCTCAGGTGGTCCCAGGGCTGAGTGGGCCCGCCACTGTGGAAAAGAGGACCCTGGAGGAAGGGTATCCTTGGACCTGTGAGCCAGGCTTGAGAAGAAAAACGTCCCATCCCAGGGCCAGGGTAGACCCCACCATGTGAGGCTGGGGCCACCTAGATCAACTTGGGCCCTGGAGGCGTGCACAAGAAGGAGAAGTCACAGGTCAGAGCTGAGTCACCATGCCGCTGGCTTCGGAGTGAGTCTGGGAAAAGACAATTGGGGGCTTCCGAGGTCTGAGAGATTTCCCTAAAAGTCCCACAGCTAACCTCCCCTCCCCGGAAGGCCTCTGAAAACCACATGTTCCATAGGGTGCCTCTTCTAGGCCTAAGCACAGGCCTCTGGAAAACCCCTCCTCCCTTTCCCCATGAGAGTCCCAGACAATTCCGCCCTCTGGCTCTATCTGAGCCCGACTTTCACCTTTATGGCCTGGAAGATCCACTCCCGGAAGTCACCAACTTTGGTGTAGACACCTGGCTTCCGGGCCAGGGCGCAACCGGTGCCCCAGCTCACGATGCCACACAGCCGCCAACGTGGTGTCCGAGAGATGTTGTCCTCACACACGAAGGGGCCACCACTGTCGCCCTGGTGGGGGAAGAGGAGGCCTTGCTGAGGCCCTCTCAGATGGCCGTGGGCTATGGTCACAGCCCTTTGGCCCTGAGATAGGGAGCCCAACCACCCACTGTCCTGTGTCTCCATCCCTGGACAAGTGGCTGCCCCCTACAGTCCCTCACCTGGCAGGCATCAATGCCACCCTCAGGGTAGCCAGCACAGAACATCTTGGGCTTGATCTGGTTCCCGTAGAAGTCAGGGCCGTTGCAGACATCATTGCTGATTATGGGTACTCGGGCCTCCTGGAGTACCCCAGCCTGTTGGCCTAGGGGTGTGTGGGCAAGGCTGGCCAGAGCTGGGGAGCATGCACATCCTCCTTCCCTTGTAGTGCCCATCCCAGGCTCCTCAGTGACCCTACACTCCAGGGCCAACAGGCACTCAACCCACCAGACTGCCCTTCACCAGCCTGGGTCAGTCTCCCTAATGGTGGCTTCCCAGGTAGAGGACAGGACTCACCGTAGTACTGTGTGTTGCCCCAGCCAGTCACTGTACAGATCTTGCCATCCACCAGGGCCTGGCCAGCCGCTGGGAGGCACACAGACTGGATGTATTCTGTGAGAGAGACGACGCCATTCCAGCCCCGCCCTGTACCAACCTCTGTCCAGCTGCCTCCCTGTCCCCAGCACAGTCTTTCCTCTGTTCTTTGATAACAACCACAGTAGAAGTTGCCATCTACTGAGGGCTCACTATGTATAGGCGCCTTCCTGTGTCACTTCTTTTAATCTCCCATCAGCCCGGGGAGGGAGGAAGACTATTACCCCATTTTATAGAAGGGGAAATGATGCCAAGTCGCTTGTCCAGAGTCTCACGATATGTCAGTGGCAGAGCCATAATTTGAACCCAGGTTGGCCCAGTTCCCCAGCCTTAACCATGGCCCATGGGGCTACCACACCCTGCCTTGAGGGTGCCTTTGTGAGAAATAGAAAAAAGCTACCTCTATCTTAAGAAACTTGACGTCCGCATCAGAAAATCATGATAAATACACCAGTCTACACCTGCCACAGTGATAATGGAGCCCCTGAGATGTGACGTCCTTGTGCAGTGCACAACCCACATAGCGGCTCTGGCAGCCCTGCCCGCTGCCTACTGACTTCGCCTGCCTGAGCCTCAGAGCTCTCAGGTGCGAAATGGAAAGAATAATCGTTTCCCCCAGAGGCTGCAGAGAGAAATTGATGAAGTGTTGAACAGCATGCCTGGCTCATAGGAAACACTCACATAACTAGTAACGGTCACGATAGCAGTGACTACTGGCCTTACTGAAGGCTCGCTGCGCGCAGGCGCTGCTCGAAGCTCTTTGCTCATATTTGCCCTTTTAATCATTTCACTAACCCTAAGAAGACTTTTTACAGATGAGGGAAACAGAGAGAGACGTGGAGACCCGTGTCTGAGATCACACACTGGCAAGTACCTGCATCTGCCCCCGAAGCGGTTACTCCAGCAGCCATGTGTTTCAAACCCAAGCCGCTCCCACCTCGCTGTGGCCCACGGACACTTCCTTACCTCCATGTTGTTAACCCCTCACTCTTTTCACGAAAGAGAAGGCTTTGTTTTGTTTGAAAAACAAAACAAAAAAAACATGTATCACTCTCTTAAATCGTAAACCAGTAAAACCAGTATCATGAATCATTAAAAAGAAAATAACTATAAAATTCAGCATAATGCAAACCATGAAGTGGTCCTGTTTCCCCTGGCAGCACGACCTGGGAGTTACAGGCACAGATTCCAGCGCCAGGTGGTCTGAGCTCAAATCTTTGCCATTTGCCAGTTTTGAGAATTTGAGGCATTATTTACCTTCTCTATGCCGGAACCTTTCCTCTGTGGAAAACGGGATCATAAAAGGACCCACCCTCCCGGGCTGGGCTGCAGTGAGAACTAAGCGAGCGTGTGCTGGGAAGAGGAGGAGCTGAGCGAGCGTTGGTGTTCATGACTCTCATCACTATGACGTTATTTTACTAGATTATTTCATTATTATTATCAGACTGCTGCTGCCTGCTAGAGGCTCATCATCATCACCATTATGACTTTGTTAGTATTATCACCATGATGTTTATTATTATTATTACACCGGCCTGCTGAAAGCTGAAGCCCAAGGCCTGCTCTCAGCCCACCAGGCACACCTGGAGAAGTACCAGAGACACTGGCACCCCGTGAGCCAGCCTCACTGAGAGCACGGAAATGCTCTGGGGAGCCGCAGCGGGAATAACTCCTAACCGCCTCTCGGATTTATTCACATATTTAAAATATGTTTTTCATTTCATTTCATTTTTTTCTTAACAGCTTTTTTTTGAGCTATAATTCATATATCATACAATTCACCCACTTAGGGTATCTAAGTCAGTGGATTTTAGTAGGTTCACAGATAGACATCGAATAGCATGCTGGGCAATGGGAAGATGCATCCACCACCACAAATCAATTTTAGAACATTTTCATCACCCTCAGAAAAACCCTCTGTTCTTTACCCATCACCTCCCAATCTCCCCACCCCCCATCCCTACCCCTGGCAACCACTAACCTGCTTCCTATCTCTGTGGATGTGCCTATTCTGGACAGTCCATATAAATGGAATCACATAGTGGCTTTTGTGTCTGACTTCTTTCTCAGCATAATGTTTTCAAGGGTCATCTACTGCGTATCATAAATCAGGACTTCATTCCTTTTCATGGCCAAATATTATTCTATTGTATGAATTGACCACATTTTTATCCATGTATCAGCTAGACATCCGAGTTGTTTCCATCTATCAACAGCTGTGAATAACACTGCTGTGAATGTTTGTGTCCAGGTTTCTGTGTGGACATGTGTTTTCATTTCTTTGGGCATAGCGATTCCTCTGGGAGTAGAATCGCTGGGTCACGTGGTAACTCCCCGTTCCCCTTTTCGAGGAACCGCCAGACCTTTCCAAAGGGGCTGCACCAATCACTCCAATGTAACGGACGCAGCTGTGCCTTGTCAAAAGCGTTTCCTTTAACATCATGGAGTCTTAGACCCCCGGCCCGCCCTCTGTCTCAGCCTCTGGAGTCCCTAGGCCAAGGCTTGGCCCCCAGACTTACCTGTGAAGGGCAGGGAGCTGGAGAGGTGGACCAGGGCGATGTCATTGCTATTCTCCTCACTGTTGGGGTCTCGAAAGGGGAGATAGCCCCCGTGGTAGATTACTGCCTGCACCCCCAGCTGCAGGCCGTGGGGTGAGGCCTGGGCCACAGCGCCGGCAAACACCCGCCATCGAGACAGGACCCGGTTCCGCCTACCAGGGAATAGGAGGGGAGGGTGGCAGCCTGCCTGGGCACAGCCTGTCCACCTCATGCTCCCTGCTGCCCGCTCAGCACCGTGGGAGTCACTCACTCAGGGAAGCAGTGGGCAGCTGTCAGCACCCAGTCTCCAGACAGCAGGGACCCCCCACAGAGGTGCGCTCCATCGTAGCGAAGACTGACTTGCCATGGCCACCTGCCCAGGCTGGTGTCCTGGCCTCCTACAATGCGGTCTACAGGCAGCTTCCTGCGGCCACAGTCTGTGGGAGACAGGCAGTCAGGGGCAGCCGGGGGTCTGTGAGAACACACCCTACTCTGGGGCATGGGAGGGGACGTGACCCAGCCCTGAGGGAGTCTGAGAGGACACAGCCCCATCCTTGGGGGACCTAACGGGACACGGTCCTGCCCAGGGGGCCTAAGTAAGAGAGTTCTGAGTTTCAGGGTCTCACCTTGGCAAATGATAGCCAGGAAGCGGCCCCTGGGACAGTCACTGTAAGAGAGACAGCGATGGGGACAGAGAGAAACAAAAAGAGAGGCTACTTCAGACAGATGGAAGGACAGTGAGGAAGAGTGGATGCCTGGGGGGCTGTGGGGCCTGGGGTGTGTGTCCTCACCCGCCCGCAGCCCTCCTCACCACACAGAGATGACGTCCAGCAGCCTCCGGGCGTGCGGCAGCCTTCCCTCGTCCACACAGAAGAAGCCCGACGTGCCGTTGGCGCCTGCCGTCCGCACATCCAGCTCCGAGTGGGCCAGTGCCCTGGGCGGGGCAGGGGTCAGGCCTGCTCCTCCCACCCTCCCACTGCCACCCTTCCACGAGGCACCCCAATACCTGAGGAAGCCCATCTCCTCACAGCTGAGTCCCGCCACCCTGGCGTTGGAGCGTGAGGAGCACAGCAGCCGCCAAGTCCCCTCCGTCTCGTCAAACACTGTGAGCCGAGCGTCTGCTGGGCTGACCTGTACTGCAGGGCGACAGAACAGGCCACCTGGGTCACCTTCCCACCCCAGCCCTTCCTGGCCTGCTCTCTGGTCATGTGGTTCTAGTCCTGAGTCCCAGCAGGGCTGACTAGAGCATCCCAGGCCACCTACACTCTTGATTGCATCCAAAAGGGCACAGGACTCAACTCAAACCAAGGAACGTGGCGCTGGGACTTTGGCTGGCCCTGGAGAGAACCAGGGGACCGCCCCTTTCCACTGAGATTCCTAAGTTGGTTGTTCCTGTGCTGTAAGTGTGAGACTTCACTGAGACATTGGAAAATCAATCTCCCAAGAGAATGGTGTGTGAGACTGGACCTTCTGGGCCCATCTTTGCCCCCTTGAGGGGGAAAATAAGCCAACATGGAGAGAAACCAAGAGATTTCTGATTCACAGTTTTAAAGCCCCTCATGGAGCCAGGCATGAAGAACCCCTCAGAATTGTTGGTTAAGTAAGTTAATCATTTCTTTTTTTGTTTAGCCAGTTTCATTATTTTCTTTTTGTCTTTTGTCATCTAAAGTCCTTTGACTAATACACCAGATTGCTAAAAAATTTAAATATAGTCTTTTTAAAAAAAGAGAAAAGAATAGCTATCTTTTCTGCAGGACTTGTCAGAACCTTGAATATACTAAAGTACATGACAATTCCCCAAGCTGAGATGTAATATACATTCATTCATTTATTCAACAAACATTACCTAAGTGTTAACTAGACACACACTCCATATCCAGTTCTGTGAGAGGTGATTCTGGGTACATGAAGATGACTGAAACAGCCCTCACTAAGCCAAAATCTGGGGGTGGACAGATGACAATAAAAAAGTCACCCAACCAAACACAACCTTGCAAACTGAGAAAGGGCAGGGTAGAGACAGACAGAAAGGCTGGAGAAAGCTTATGGAGGTTCCTCATGTCTGGGGCTGGTAGTGAGAACTGATGAGGCCTCAGCCCCTCACGTGCTCCCCACGTGTGGCCAGAGGACCCTTGTTCACACGTAAGCCAGGTCACAGCCCTGTATTTGTTAGCATTTGTTAACATCATTAGCTGCATTTGTTAACATTCACCAAACACTCAGTGCGTGCGGCCTCTAGTTTAGGCAATGAACAAATCAGATAAAACCCCTGCTCTATGCAGCTCAAAAGCCAATAAGTAAGATGGATAATGAAAGGAACAAATAAGGAAAATAGATTGTGTGTCACAAAAGAAGGGGCCAGGGAGACGAATCAAGCTTAACAGAGGTGGGGTGCTGGTGAGTGCAGTGAGGTTGCGATTTTCAGTAGGTAGGAAGAGAAAGCCTCACCCGGAAGGTGGTAAGCAAGCGAAGACCTGAAGGAAGTGAGAAAGGGAGTTGTGGAGACAGGTGAGGGAACAGAGAACTAGGCCAAGGGAACTGCAAGTGCGAAGATCCCAAGGCAGTGGGGGTGCTGCGGGGGGCGGACTGTTGAGGAACAGCGAGGGGCTGGAGCAGAGTGAGTAAAGGGGAGACAGACCGAATCAACACTAGGACTTTGCTGGTAGCTGGAATGAGGTGCACCCAGGGAGTCTCTGAGCCAGGAGGGCCCTGACCTGCCTCAGGGGTTCACAGGCTCCCTCTGGCTGCATGGGGAGCAGACTGTGGGGGCGGGGGTGGGAGCAGGAGACCAGGGAGGAGGCAGCCATGAGGTCCAGGAGGCAGAGGATGGAGCTGGGCCAGTGGAGGGGCAGAAGAGATTAGATTCGGAACAGATTTTGTGAGTGGAGCCCACAGGGTTTGCGGACAGATTGGATATGAGTGTGAGGAAAAGAAAGGGGTCAAGGACAATTCCATGGTGTTTGGTATGAGCCATGAGAAGGACAAAGCTGCCGTCGGCCAGGATGGGGAAGGCAGGGAAGGGAGGTTGGGGGTCGGATCAGGTGTGAGCCTCTTGTCCTTTTCTCCCGAGTCTCCGGCATGGCTGGTGTGTTGAGAGCACATTCTGGGAAACCAAATCAGTTTTGCATCCTCTCAGGAGGAAGCCGATGAGGCCCACCAGAGCTGAGCGGTCTTCCCGCAGCCCCGAAGATTAAACAAGGGGAAGCAGGACCTCCAGGGAGAACCCCGTCATACCGAGCACCAGCCGTGTGCCAGTGCTATGCTACATGCTCTCCCTGCCACCGTCGACCGAGTCCTCACCAAATCTCTGAGGCCACAAAGATCATCCCAATTTTCCAGAAGGGGAAGCTAAAGCTCGAAGAGGTGAGGTGACTTGCCCAACATCATCGCCAAGTGAGTGAAAGGCAGAGAGAGGATTTGCATTCAGGCCTGAGTGACTCGAAACTCCAAGCTTTTAACGCTGCCCTGCACAGCCTCTCAGGCGACTTGCCCTCCTGAAGGTCAAACAATAACAGCACAGTAACAACACTGGCTACATTTCCCAAGGATGTCAGTGGGCCGGCCGCACGCTGTGTGTCATATCTGGGAAGTGCCTCGAATCCCACAGCCATCCTGGGAGGTAGAGACCATTTCTGTGCTCATCTTACAGATGGAGAAACCGAGCCTCAGAAAAGATGTACTCGCCCAGGGGCATTCTGCTAAGAACTGACAAAATCAGGATTTGAACCTAGACCTACCGGCCTACATACTCCCTACTCCTTCTGTGGGTCTCACAGAGACCCTTACTTGTCCCCACCCCAGATATACTCATGCGCAGCCCGGGCAGGAGCCCCCGGCTGACCTGCCTTAACTATGGCCCCCTGCCCCGGGGCAGGTGCAGGGGGTGCTTGGCACCTCTGAACTGTGGTGCTCAAAACCCCCAGTTCCAAGACCAAGGCTTTGGGTTTGAGACACCAACTCAGGTAGGGAGGAATTCTTCTTTTGAAATGACTTCTCAGTGCTCCAGAGATGCGATTTCCAGCAAGTATGAGGTTTTAGGAAAACATTATCATTTTATGGCTGTGTGTTGGGCAAGGTGGGCGGGGGAGGGAATAGAAAATGCCCCCTCCTTTATTTTTAAAGCCACCTTTTGTGTTGCTGTTTCTTACTTTTAAACTCTTTATTCTCATTTGTATTATTTTAAGCAATACAGGCTGTGTTCTGGGTCACTGGTTTGCTTACCAAATTGTCTGACATATCTGGAGGTGTGACAATCCCAGAAAAATGAGGTGGGGACATAGTTTGGGGGTTGTTTCTGTTTGTTTTGTAATTTCCCAACACTTTTGAAAAACCCAAGTGTAGCTGAAGGGCGAGAGTGCTGGCGCTGGCCCGTGCCGGGTCTGAGTCACTGCCTGGCCACCTGCCTTCCAGCCGGAGGCCCGGGACAGGTTAGTTCATCTCGGCAATTTATCTTCGTGCTTACTCATTTAGCAAAGACTTCCTGAGCCTCTATCATGTGTAGGACATGATCGAGCAGGAAACAAAATGCTCCTGCCTTCCTGAAATTCACCAGGGGTAAACAATCCACTGAGAGTGTGAGAGTTTTAACCGGGGAAGGGGAATGACCACAGGCACGGGTGGTAGCATGGAGTCTGGGGGGGCAGGAAGGCCTTGCCAGGAAAGTTAAAGCCTGACAGATGAGACATGTTTACCAAGTTGGCTGAAGAGCCAAGCACTGCATGGACCATCATGTCCTCTAATTCTCACCCCCAGCTTACAGATGAGGACATCGAGACTCAGAGAGGGCAGGACTGGTGTGAGGCCCCGCTGCTCAGCAGTGACACTTGCAGAACCCCAAAACCTGCTTCTAGGTGTGAGCTGGAAAGAGGTGGGTGAACAAAGGCTGTGGTGCCAGGAGGGTCCTTCGAGAGCCAAGAGCATGTATAAGGTGAGAGCAGAGACGGCCCACACCCTAAAAGCCTGTGAGCTGTTGGAATTTTAGCTCAGTGGCAGTGGGGAGCCATGGAGGGGCTTTCAGCAGGGGAATGATCCCTCCACCCTGCCACTTATGCAACATGTGGTCTTGAGTAAGTCGGCTCAGTTGCCCCCAGATGCAAAACAAAGGTGATGGTAATAGCCACAGCTCCACAAGGCTACTATGTAAAGACTGTAGACAGGCCCTGGTAATATGCGAGCCCTCACTGTGGCAACTCGCTGTGCTGT